CTGTCAATAACTTAGAAAGTAACCAGGCTTCAGAGATGTGGCATCTTTGGCATATACTATAGGTAACTGGACATTTTGGTGCAAAGAGATGATATCGAATGATAAAAGAATTTCAACAAGATACCAGTATATTTGCATATATCCTACGATATCTAGAAGAGTCTGGAACTCTGAGGAACACTATCCCACAGAAACCAATGAACTTCAGGAAGTGTTACAACTAGGTTTCAGAACATGTTGAGACTGCAGGAATAATCTCCAATACTAGAATAACAATTGAAACCTTGCTACCCAGAGCGACCAAGGGCTGCCGACCGTGGGATTATCTGTTAGTTCTGTGGAATAGCTCCCTGTAAATTAGTAGGAAATTCTCAGGAAGATATCTGTTGGTTGAGTAGGGAGTTATGAAGGTTTAAAGTCAGGTGACCGTAACAATCCCCCTTTGGACAGTTAGTTCTTAGCGACGGGAAACGATACTTCTCTTTTCTGTCTTCTTCTTTCTTCATCTTACGATAGCTCTAGGCCTCTGCCTACATTACCGATAGTACAAGACCTTTGTCTTCTATCGAAAACGCCTATCATAAGCTTTCTCTAACTCGTCTTTGTGAAGAACTTTCCTTGGCGTAACGATAACGTTGCAATAAAGATAAAGATCGTAAAGGTGTTTTATATTCGTTAAAGTAATAAGTAGGAAAAGTACTTAGAACAAAGCGTGAAGAACCTATCTTCCTCGGCCGCATCGGCCTCCTTATATAGTATTCTTCTCACCCGTGATCATGTGACCTAAAGTGGTCACATGTGCAAAACCAAATCATAACAAACTAGTCATGTGACCAAAGTGATCCCATGCTCAAAACCTATGACCTCATAGCGAGATCATGTACAAAAATTCATAAACCAATCATAACACAATAAACAAGTCATATGACTCAACTGAGTCATATGCGCGAAACCCATAACCTCATAATGAGGTCATGTGCGAAACATAAATCATATATGCAAGGCTTACCCACAAGGCACACTTGCAAGGCATACTCACCAGGCGCATGTTCCATGACTCATATTTGAGCCATGTGCGAAAGTATCACAAATCCCACACATAACAAATCATATGACCCAAATGAGTCATATATGTAAAACAATAACATACCTGTGACTCATACCTGTGACTCATAACTATGCATCACGTGAAAACCTCTTTCATACCAAGCCACATTCGTGACAGTGACCTAGAAAGGATGGGATAATGGCTACCTTCACAAATACAACCTGCAGATGAAACTGATCATTTCATCAATGATGGAGACAATTGATGTAAACTTAGTTCGACTTGAGAACTAAATATATAAGTCTCAAGACTCTAATGATGGGATAATTACTATTGGAAATAGCATGGTTCTTAGATAGTTATATCGTAATTGCCGAAGGGGATGTAGTGATTTTTAAGGTTTCTAGATGTTTGCATCTTTAAAGAATACTCAATATTGTGGGTTACAATCAGAGAGTTACATAATTGTGTAATAGATAAATGTAGTCCGTAAACACTCAGATGTAGAATATAAATATCGAAGTGCCTCCCAAGCTTTTAGACATCATCAAGCAAGGAAGAAGAAACCTTAATAATAGAATATTGTTTTTACTATTCTATCTTACTTTACTTATTCTACTTCGCTCTTAGTAGTCATAAATGAAATGAGTGTGAATCTGAGCTTTCCTAGACAATCTCTGTTTACAGAAACAAATCTTAGTTGGCCTAATGTTAGGTGGAGTCAATCTGATGGACTTCAGAATTGTCTAGGCCAATCAAGATTCATTTCTGTAAACAGAGATTATCCAAGAAGGCTCAGATTCACTCATTTCATTTATGACTACTAAGAGTGAAGTAGAATAAGTAAAGTAAGATAGAATCGTAAAAATAATATTCTATTGTTAAGGTTTCTTCTCTCTTGCTTGATGATATTTAAAAGCTTAAAAGGTACTTCGATATTTATATTCTACATCTGAGGGTTCGCGGACTACATCTATTTATTATACAACTTATGTACCTCTCTAATTATAACTCTCAACATTGGATATTCTTAAAAAATGCAAACACCTGAAGACTCTGAAAATTACCACATCTTCTTCAGTAATTATGATATAACTAACTAAAAACTATGCTATTCCCAATAGTAGTTCTTCGATCATTAAAGTCTTTAGACTTATAAGCTAGTTCTCACGTCAAACTGAGTTGGCTCCAATTGTCTCCACTGTTGATGAAATGATTGGTTTCATCTGTGGATTGTATCTGTGAAGGTAGTTGTAATCGTAACTTTTTTAGGTTACCTGACTTTAAACTTACATAACTCCTTACCCAACTGATAGATATCTTCCAGAGGACCTCCTACTAATTCACAGAAAGCGATTTCACCGAATTGACAAATATTCCCTCAGTCGGTAATCCTTACTTGCTTAGGTAATAGAGTTTCAATTGTGATTGTAGTATTGAGAGTCATCCTCTCAGCAATAATGTGTTCCGAAACCTAGTTGTATGTCACGAACGTGGCTTAGTGAGGAAAGGGTTTTCACGTGACACATGGTTATGAGTCACAGGTATGTTATTGTTTCACGCATATAACCTATTCGGGTTGTATGATTAGTTATGTGTGGGATTTGTGATGCTTTCGCACATGGCTCAAGTATGAGTTATGGGATATGTGCCTGACCAGTATGCCTTACGAGCATGCCTTACGAGTATGCCTTACGGGCAAGCCTTGTACACATGATTTATGTTTCGCACATGACCTCATTATGATGTCATGGGTTTCGTGCATATGACTCAGTCGAGTCATATGACTTGTTTATTGTGTTTTGATTGGTTTATGAGTTTTGCACATGACCTCACTATAAGGTCATGGGTTTTGAGCATGTGATCACTTTGGTCACATGACTAGTTTGTTTTGATTTGGTTTCGCACATGTGACCACTTTAGGTCACATGATTAAAGGCGGGAAGAACACTATATAAGGAGGCCGATGCGGCCAAGGAAGATAGGTTCTTCACGCTTTGTTCTAAGTACTTTTCCTACATATTACTTTAACGAATATAAAACCCCTTTACGATCTTTATCTTTATTGCAACGATATCATTACGCCAAGAAGTACTCGTTACGAAGACGAGTTAGAGAAAGCTTACGATAGGCGTTTCCGATAGAAGATAAAGGTCTTGTACTATCGGTAACATAGGCAGAGGCCTAAGGCTATCGTAAGACAAAGAAAGAAAAGGAAAGAAAACATAAGTATCGTTCCCCGTTGCCAAGAACTAACTATCCGAAGAGGGATCGTTACATTGTAATACTCCGTAAAGTCTATTGGCTTGTATAGTAGTGTTCCTCAGAGTTCTAGACTCTTCCAGTTATTGTAGGGTGAGTGCGAATGTATTGGTCTCTCGTGGAGATCCTTTACCATTCGATACTATCTCTTCGTGTGAGAATGTCCTATTACCTATGGCCTATGCCAAAGATGTTGCATCTTTGAAGCCTAGTAACTCTCTGAGTAGTTCACGGATTTACTCCATTCTACTTCTTAGACCTAGCTGAATGTCCCCTCTCATATGTCCTATGAACAGGATCTGGTTGGACATATGGCGGCGACGTATATGGCATTATTCTGATACCTTTAATTCTGTGGCATTATAATCACAGGACGCAACTAAGATTAATATTATAATGATGTGTGGGCCCTGTCAGGAGGCCAGAGGGGGGTATTGGAGACCAGGGATTTTGATTCCAGATGAGGTTACCCTACTTAGTGTGATTCCTATATATCGGATCCCAGTATTCCTAATACCTAGACAACTCTGAAGTTTATCAGGTTGTTTCTGCTTAACAGATTTACAGACATCATTAAACAATAGACAAGAGATCTTAATAATATAATGTTGTTCTATTAATGAATATTTATTACGATATCTTTACTGTCCTCCGATGCTAGTTCTTAGTAATCATAAATGAAGAGAACATTACCAAGCCTTTCTAGACAATCTCTGTCTACACTAAAGATTCACATGTAAGTCTTCTTAACACACACTATAGTTGGCTTCTATCTAACAGAAAAATACTTTAGTGATTTGATAAATAGAAGTAGACTGCACATACTTGAACATGTGATATAAATACCGAGATGCTTTTATGAGTTTCCAATAACTACAAATAAAGAAACTAGTGGACCCTTCCTAGACAATTCTCCACTTATCAGGAGATTCTAGACCCTTGTCTAGTTCAACTCGTATTAAATTAGAGTTGACTACTGCCTAATACATCCACCCTCTCTGAGTTACTACAAGTCCTAATTTAAACACTTTATACAGACTAGACAGTATTAGTCAAACTCCTCTTAACATCCTTGAGTTTCCACCTTGTGTTAAATAGTTTCAACATCACATCACAATATATTATTTATGGAATCATCCAACAGTAGTTAGAAAAGTATATAGGTTGGGAATCAGAGTAGTCGAGAAACCTTTAGTCTGATCCGAATTAAGGTGAGTAAGCAGTTTCCCTGCAATTCAAGTTGTTGAGTTGTAATATAAATTCAAACGTCTGATAAATACAGTCGCACCCGGGCGGCCAAAATCTGAAGAATCCGTCCAGCACAGCGAAGAATCCGGGACAACGGGTCAGGCTTTGGTGGAAGGAAATTCAGAGTTCACGGAGATTCATACGAGACAGCAAGATACTAGATTATCGAGATCCGGGACAGCGAGGTGTGACTGTACCGTAATTAAATCGAGTTGGATCGGGCTGGTGGGGGTGTATTCTCTCGGATGATCTGGTGGGGGGGGGAAGACAGGCGGAAGGAGAAAGGAGGGAAAGCAATGGCTCCTTCATTCCCCTTATGAGTGTTTCCCTGGTTTTTGTAAGGTGTGTCCTCAACGCATGGCAACAGAAAAAAGAAATCCCAAAGTGTCCTTTCAAGCGCAGCACGTACCTGCGTGAGCAACCTCCTCCCCAACCAAACCAAGTCATCTCTCCTATTATACCAAATTTCCTTCCCTCGCACACTCCTCCTCCTCGCACCCCCTACCATCCAAAGTCAATCCGAATTAAAGCTCGGATTAATAAAGCTCCCTCACAACTGGTTTTCCACAATTGAGCGAAATAATCACTGAATTCGGGCTGCTTGAAGGTTTCCATCCCAGCTTTCTATTTTTTTTTGTTTACCTGTCTCGCTGGGGGGCTCTCTCTGATGGTTTGCTAACTTACCTCCAGTTTTGTTGAACCTAACTGAACCTTTCACAAGCATCATCCAGCTCCCTCTTCGATCAACATGTCTGTCAACGCTAAAGTAAAGTCTGCCCTCTCGGGGGATACACTTATACTCAAGTCCATAAAATCTGCTGGTCTGGAGAAAACCCTAGCTCTAGCTTATGTTTCCGCTCCAAGAATGAAGCATGAAGGGGACGAGGTAAGCTGACAGGCACTAATTCTCCTCAAGTCAAGGCCACGTTGCTAAATGGTTGCTGTATTAGCCCTTTGCTTTTCAATCTCGTGATTTCCTACGCAAGGCCACAGTTGGAAAGGAAGTCAAGTTTGAGGTTCTATACTCCGTTCCCAATACCAACAGGGAATATGGACTGGTCCTATTGCCCAATGGGGAGAGTCTGCTTGAGAAGGCTGTCTCTGCTGGATGGGTTAAGGTCCGTGAGGATGCGGGAAAACGTGAAAACCAACCTGATAGTGGAGCTGTGATTGAGAAGCTGAAGGCGTTGGAAAACACCGCAAGGACTGAAGGAAACGGTATCTGGGATACCTCTGACGATGGAAGGATAGAGTCCAAGTACGAATCTCCTCCTGCGAGCGAAGCTGTGGCTTTTCTTGACGAGCACAAGGGACGGGTTGTTTCAGGTGGGTTGATATACCTCAAGAACCTTATACCCTGGGTAGTAGCTCAATCGCGAGAGCTGATCCGGTGATATTTTTTTATAGGGATCATTGAGAGAGTTATTACTGGAGATAGGGTTACTGTTAGGCTCTTGTTCCAACCTAAACTTCATCAGCAACTCGTTGTTCTCATCGCCGGTGTGAAGACACCTTTGACGAAGCGTGTAGACGCATCTGGGAACGAGCAGCTAGCGGAAGAATATGGGGAGGAAGCCAAGAACTTTGTCGAGTCTCGTTTGCTACAACGTTCCGTTGATGTCACCTTACTCGGTTTGAGTCCGCAGTCTCAATTTATAGGAAACGTCATCCATCCACAAGGTGGAAATATTGCTGAGGCTCTTCTTAAGCAAGGTCTTGGTAGATGTCTGGACTTTCACAGCACCATGATTGGGTCTTCTATGAGTAGGCTTAGAACTGCAGAGAAGCACGCTAGGGAAAATAAGCTCCATTTGTGGAAGAACCATGTTGTCAAGGCCCCAACTAGTGGTGCCCGCGATGCTACTGTTACCAGGGTTATGAATGCCGATACACTTTTTGTTCGAAATAAGGCCGGTGTCGAGAAGAAGATTAATCTTTCTAGTGTTCGACAACCGAAGTAGGTGCTTGTCTGAACGTTTTAATAGTGAAAACTCTGCTAACCACCAAATAGACCTACAGATCCTAAGCAGGCACCTTTCCAGACTGAGGCTAAGGAATTTCTGAGGAAGAAACTAATTGGCAAACATGTTACTGTCACCATTGATGGAAAACGCGCTGCTACCGAAGGATACGATGAGCGTGAAATGGCAACTGTCATCTTCAGCAATAAGTATGCATTCTCCTGGGTTAGGCTTAAACTCAGCTTATTGACATTTATTCCACTGCCAGGAATGTTGCTCTCTCGCTTGTTGAAAATGGATGGGCAAGTGTTATTAGACATAGGAGGGAGGATGACGATCGTTCACCTATTTATGATCAACTTCTTGCGGCCGAGGAAGCAGCGCAGAAAGACCAGAAGGGAATGTATGCCCCAAAGCCGCCTGCATCTTCCAAGCTTGCCGAAGTTTCAGAAAACATCACAAAAGCAAAGGCCTACCTTTCATTTCTCCAACGCCAGAAGCGTGTTCCTGCAGTGGTAGACTTTGTTTCTTCGGGATCCAGATTTAAAGTCATCCTTCCACGTGAGAATGTCCGTCTTACCCTCGTTCTGGGCGGTATTCGTGCCCCCAGAACTGCTCGCAATCCAACCGAGGAGTCGGAGCCCTTTGGTCCGGAAGCTCTAGAATATGCCTCCAGGCGGTGTATGCAGAGAGATGTTGAGATTGATGTAACTGATATTGATCGTGTTGGCGGTTTCATTGGGACAATGTACGTCAACCGTGAGAACATTGCCAAGGGACTCGTGGAAGAGGGGCTTGCGGCCGTTCACTATTATTCTGCTGAGAGGTCCGGAAATGCAAACGAGCTTTATGCTACCGAAAAGAGGGCCAAGGAAGCAAGGAAGGGGCTTTGGCATGATTGGTCCCCTGAGAATGATGAAGAGAACAGCCATGATTCCCCGGGGAACATTAACACAACTGAGGAAGTCATCGAACCAAGGACCGATTATAGAGATATCATTGTCACCAATATTGACGATCACGGAAGGTTGAAGGTTCAGGTTGTGGGAACTGGTATGTGTATCCAGACACTTGAGGTTAAGTATCATTGACTTTTTTGCAGGGACTTCAGCGCTCGAGGAAATGATGACTGCCTTTAAGAATTTCCATCTTTTGCCCCAGAACAACAAGGGACTGGAGGGGCCGCCTCGGGTTGGTGAATTGGTCGCAGCGAAGTTTACAGACGATAACTCCTTCTATCGCGCCCGCGTCCGTCATGTCAATCGTGAGGCTAAGGAGGTTGAAGTGATGTACATTGATTACGGTAATTCTGAGAAGCTGCCGTTTTCGAGACTTCGTCCTTTATCCCAGCCTCAGTTTCAGCCTACCAAGTTGATGCCTCAGGCCATGGATGCATCGCTCTCATTTATCCAATTTCCTACCGCCCTCCACTACGCTCAGGAGTCTGTCGACGCGCTTGGTCAGATGACCAATGGGAAGCAATTAGTTGCTAACGTTGATTATATCGGCTCTGATGGAGCACTCTACCTCACCTTGTATGATCCTAAGGAGAGCGATCGCTCAGAGAGCAGCATTAACGCAGAGTTGGTATCTGAGGGGTTAGCCATGGTTGCCCTGAAACTGAGACCCTTTGAAAGGGCGTACCCAGCCAAGCTCAACACTCTCAAAGAGAGGGAAGCCTTGGCCAAGGAGGAGAGGAAAGGGATGTGGGAGTATGGAGGTTTGTAAACCCTAGCTGTTACGTACTATTGTAAGGGAAAACATGGATGAACTAACGTGCATATAGATATTACCGAGGACTAAGCCAGCCTTCAAACAATTTCGCTGGTTTCCCTTCCTACTTTCTGTTTACATATCGGGTTGAAAAATTTTCGTTCCAGGGATTTCAAGTCACGCATGATTTCCAGGTTGCTTGAGTGAGGGGTTGAAAGGCAAAAGGTGTAATGGTCTTTTTTTTCCACTGTATATCATAATCAATTGGAGTTGACTTGCGTGCGTGCATTGGCTTTTTTTTTTTTTGTTACACGTACGGTACTTGAGGCTAGCAGTTTGAGGTGATTTTCGGATGAGAGCAAGGATCAACTAGCGCTGCTGTTTATGAGAATTGGCCTCGGGACTTGTTGCTGCCTTGGGGTATTATATATAATAGCTTTATAAAATAACTATTCCCACTTTCAGCCAAAATGTTTACCAGCTGGGGGGGTGGAAGCGAGTGATATATCATGACCACAATAGTTGTCCAAACTATTTATAGTACAGGACCGGTTTAAACAAAGGCTAAAGACTAAAACTGGACAAAAAGAAAAGCTCTAACCCTAGGACCTGCCAAGCCAAGTGAGCTCTACTCTGTTCTACTCCCACTGCCGCCGAATAACCGGCCGGGCGGGATCCCAGGGCCCGTGGATCTCGCTGTTAAAAATATTAGCACACAACTAGTCGGGCGCAAAGAGGGTGAGGGAGCAAGGGGAGAAACGCACTTCTTATACTTCTGCAACCCAATCAGCCACCACCCACACCCCCCCATCCCACCCACGACGCCCAAAACCCACACAACCGCCCACCCCCATCCAACCACAGCGCCCAACCCTCCCGCGGCGCCGAGGACAAGCATGACTGTAAGGCAAACATGCAGCCCCCAGGAGACGTGCTTCAAGTATCGCCTAAACACAGGGAACAGTCCAAAGACTTGAATGCTTGTAAGTATGAGGGAGAAGACATGCGCGGTGTTTGGCGGTAATTCATCTTTGTGGGGCAGGCGGGAGGCGAGGACGACGCTGGAGGTTATGGCGGCGTTGGTGGAGAGGGAGGCGGGGAACTTAACTTCCACGCCGGAGCCATAGTCGAAGGAGAGAGTGTTTGCGAGGAAGAGCCAGGTGGCGATGGCCCAGATGGAGTCATCAGTTATGCTGCCGGTCAGGGAGCGGAGGATTGGGGAAAGACCTAGGAGGGTAACTGTTCCCTTCGTTAGTATCATTTCAGGAGGGGATGAACGATTGAGGGGGGAGTACAGTAGATTAGGAGTGTGGATTTCGCCGTTTTTAACCTCCGGGATCGCTGCTGGCTGCGGATGTATGACTGCTCATCTTGGGATTTCTGGCCGGCTTCGGTGTCGGCAGCAGTGGAGGTGGAGGTGATGGTGGTGGTAGATGTGCTGTTGTCGCCAACGTCTATAGAATCTATTCTGTGTTTCTTAACCGGCGAGCTGGATGCTGATGCACCGCTACTTCCACCAGCCCCTCTTTCCGGTGGCGGCGATGGGTACGGCTGGAAATAGCTCCCTCTATCCCCACCACCACTCTCCCCTCTCCCAGACATCTCCAATCCCAGCCCGATGCCAGGACTTCCCCCCCCACTCCCACTCCCCCCACCACCGCTCCCGGTTCCATTCCCCCGCCTCCTATGCTCCCTGATCCCCCTAACTACCTTCTCCCTCTTCTCCCAACCCATGTCCCAAACTGCCCATCCAGCAACAGTCAGAGCAGTAGACACCAGCGCTACGGAAACTGGACTGACCCGCTCTTTGACCATCGCTATGAAGCTAGTTACGAATATCACGACGCTGGAGAGGTGCTGGACAATCACTGTGGAGTCGGCTACCAGGCTGTAAAAGTCGTAGGGGTGCACATTGATGTTGCGCTGGAGTTGGGAGAGGAAGGTGGGGTCTACCCAGTTGTCTGGGTAGTCTTGTTTTACCCATAGGAGCTTTCGCCAGGGTTTTCGCTTCTTGATGCGTGGGGCGGAGGAGGAGGAGGAGACACTGGTCGCAGCGGTGTTGGTGGGCGGCCTTGGGGAGGGCGCTCGGGGAGGGCGGTGATCGATTGGTAGGAGGTTTTGTTGTGCCCAAGCAGGGTTGGTGATGTCAGTTGTAGGTGTTGTTAATCTGGGGGGAGACGGGCGGTGGGGAGTTGGCGCTTGCATGTGTAGAGGCATCTTTCGTGAAGATTATAATTGCACTGCTGGGTATTAGAGATTCATGGCAGGTTGTGTGTGTGTATTGTATTCGCGGTTGTGGCACTCCTTCTATTGAACCGCTGGAAAAGGGGTTTGAGACACGGTCATTATTTGGGTGGATTGAGGCTCAAATGCAAAATCCGGGGATGACGACTTCTTGCATAGAGGCCAAGCTTTATAATATTACATGACAAATCGGGCTGGCAAATCACCAAGTTTCTCATATCACCGAACCATGAGATATCATTATTGGTTGCGTCCTTTGGTTCGAAAAAAAAAAAACTATGACTGAGATTGAGAACCAAAACATGAACCTTACGAACAAGTAGAGCGGACTGGGAAGCCTATACGAAAGGTAGACCAACAGGCAAGAAAGTGAAAAACACCCCTGGAAAAGCTAAAGCTTACACAGACCAAAAATCCATATACCTGTTCGCTCAATACTTTTTTTATATTACCTTTCTCATATCCGATTTAAGCTCTCTCAAGCTTCGCCTTGAGGATCTCCTTCAAAGTAACAGCGTCGGCTAATTACGGTCAGCAACAGCTTCAACTAATCTTAAACCACAGATGAGTCTATTCACCAGCAAACTTTCTAATACCGTCGCTCAACTTTTCGGTGGCCATTTGGTCCTCATTCAAGTAGAACCTGAACTCGGCTTCATTGTCAATGAAGCTCTTCCTGGCGATATCCAGAGCAGTGGCGTCCTCGGAAGAAAGCTTCTTCGGGACGGCAGCCTGGCTGTTGTACAACTCCTCCAAAAGGTTGGGAGAGATTGTAAGGTAGTCACAACCAGCAAGCTCGGTAATCTCACCAGTATTACGGAAAGAGGCACCCATAACTTGCTAGACTTAGCCTAAAATTCCCAGAAGCACCCATAGGAAGGTAGACAAACCAATGGTCTTGTATCCGTACTTCTTATAGTAGTTGAAGATATTCTGGACGGACTTAACACCAGGGTCCTCGCGGGCAACATAAGCCTTTCCAGTGGAGGCCTTATACCAATCCAAAATTCTGCCAACAAAAGGCGAAATCAAGAAAGCGCCCGCCTCGGCGGCAGCAATAGCCTGGACCTCTGAGAACAAAAGAGTCAAATTACACTTAATTCCGTGCTTGCTTTCCAATTCCCTGGCAGCTTGGATACCCTCCCAAGTGGAGGCAATCTTGATGAGAACACGGCCCTTGTCGATACCGATGCTCTTGTACAGGTCAATTATGTGGAGAGCCTTATCAATAGAGGCCTGTCTGTCGAAAGAGAAACGGGCATCGACTTCGGTAGACACCTTGCCGGGGACGATATTAAGAATCTCCTTTCCAAATTCAACGAGAAGACGGTCGAAAGTGGCATCAACTTGGGAATCGATGTTTCCGCCATGGGACCTTCCGTACTTAACGGCCTCATCGATGAGCCTAGCGTACTCAGGCTTCTTGGAGGCGGCGAGGATCAAAGATGGATTGGTAGTGGCCTGCATAGGGTTCAACAAGCGCTATCCTGACGAACCGGCTGGAGCAAACTTACATCTTGAGGCTTGTACTTGTCAATAGTAGCAAAGTCACCTTCAATTCAATTAGCAAACAGCCTAAAAACATTACTGAAAGATCGAACAATACCAGAGTCGCAAACGACAGTCTATAGCGCCCAACAGTTAGCAAAGAATTCAGGAAAAAGAGGGAAATGACGCACAGTGCCAGTGGCCTTCAACTGATCGAGAGAGGTAGTCATAATTGTTGTGATTGTTCAAACTTCAAGAATAAAGTTGGTAAGTTTATTGTACAAATCAAAGACAATGAGGGATCAAGGGTAACCAACAATGCGAGAACGACGGCAGAAGTGTTGCGCGTTTCGGGTATTAGAGAAGCGGGAGGTGCGGTGGTGAAGAGGAGGGGAGAGGAGATGGAATGGAAGAGAGGAAGTAAGAAAGAATCAAGTTAAGTTACGGAAGGGAGGCTTGCGGTGGTCTGCGGGTTGAAAGGGAGGCGTGGCTGTATCGATGGGGAGGGGCAAGCGCAACTCGATGAGGGGTTGATAATACTTGCACACGCAGAGTAGCTCGGCAGTCGATGAGGAATCTCACCCATTCTCCAAAAGACCATCGTTGCTGCTAAGGAGGTTCCCCGAATGACATGGCATAGCATTAATGCCAAGCATGATTTATAAAGTTTATTGTTATCATAGCAATAAATCTATTGAAACGGAGAAAACCTCCAATCATTCATATTACACGATAGGAAGGTCATCAATTGCCAATTACGGGTTGTAATGGGAAATCGATGAAAATATGCGGTATGTAGGTCCATGAACATGGTTGCCATGCTGCTGCTCATCCCACTCTTCCCTTTTTCCTCTCCTCGGACTTGTGGTGACCTTACTTAAGTTATGTGCCATTTATCCGGAAGGCCTCGTACTTGAGCACGAGCATGATAGAATTGGAACTCAGAAAGAGGGGCGTGGTTCGGTGCAACTTTCTCTTACGTTTCCCGCCGCAAGGGCACTCCAGGGTCACCCACTTGAGCAGGAACCCGGTTGAGTTACAACCCTGCGCCATAATTATACGAGTAGAACTGGGATGTTAGGCACGAGGTCCGGCTTTGTGGAACGTTGGAAAACTGGGGCACTCTCATCATAGTGTACGAGTAAATGACACAATAGTGCAATCACACTTAAACTAAGCCGAGTTGCGATTGGGAACTGTTGGGGTCGCTGTAAAATTAAGTTGAATGGAACTAGTTGGAAGCCAAGTCTCAAGCAAATCTACGAATAGACTGCTTGCCCGTTCCAAAAGCATCCAGATACTTTGGGAGCAAGTACCGGTGCGGTAGGCGTCCACACTTAGCGATACACCGATACGCGAGTGACAATTGGTGAACTGTCGGTTGAGAATCAAGCAAATGTGAAAATAGCTATGATGCTATAATATTATTATGTACATAAAGTAGCTCCAGGTAAGGGTGAGCAATTTAGACCCCGTTTGGCATGTCACCTTTACGCTATAAATTTTGGCATATTAAAGTTTTTATATTATAGTGATGCGTTTGGTATAAGGTATAAAGCCACGATATATTTTTATTGTGTTGATAAATTTTTATTATATGATAATTATTATTATCATCATATATTTGTTGTAGGGTTAGCTTCAGAATCATGAGATATGATGCATGTTACTCCAGATTATAGAAAATGTTAAAGAATATATCGATTATCAGTTTGAGGCTGAGAGTGTCTGTACTTCAGTCCTCCTGGGACAGGTCTATCTTGAGCAACTGTTATTGGCTAATACCAAAGAGCTGGAATTTCAAGAAGTTTTTTGCATATCTCAATAAGTATTTTTCAAATTATGTAATTTGTTAGAATAAGATTGTTGCTTGAGAAGTATGATACAAAGGATATAGCTGTTACAGAACAGGTAGCTATGTTTGTTTGAACAGTATCACATAATGGATCAAACCATGAGGTGCAAGACCAATTTTAGCACGTGGTGACCGTGTCAACCAGCAAGTTTTCCGAGCCCTATCATCTTACAATTTACTTGATCACTTCTGTTTAAAACTCATTTGAAAGCTGTAGAAAACCTTGCTCAAAACATGGTTTGTTTGTTTGTGGAATTTACCCTAACTGTTATTCATACTTTTCTCATATTTTTTCATATTCGTGAAATCTTGGCTGAACACCTATCTATTTTTTTCAGCACTGAATTTTTCTTTTATTAGCATATATGCCATTTTCAACTTTTATTGCGATATATTTTTATTGGTACATGCCGAACAAGGCTTTAAAGGGGGAAAAAAAAAGTGAGTGCAAAAATGTAAAAGAAATAAAAGGAACGTCAGTAGGAACCCATAAAATCATAAAACGTAACGCCCCGTTAATGATAGTAAGTCTATCGAACAAGAACAGGCGACTGATTCCGTTGAACTAATTGACAATCCCACTCGTACTGATGACAGATATTAGCGCTCGAATGGTAGATGGCTCAAAGGGGAACATACTACTTTCCCATTTTCATCCCCCGTATACACTGCCTGCGGCATTGGATGGATAGCCGAAATAGCTGCCGACACCTGAATTTCTGTTTGGAATTGGTTGACATGCTGCAGTGTATTGACGGACAGAAGCTTGAATTTCCCATCCACGATGGCTTTTCCCCACACATTGACTACTCCGCGTCTGTGTCCTGTGAAGAACAACTCTCTTTCTAACCACTCATTTCCAAGACCCTCGTAAAAGGCACAGCATAAGACGTTGTCTTCAGGTAAATCACAGATGTTCTGTGTAAGGATGTGCTCGCCGTTCAAAGTATATATGGTCACGCTGTTACCTTTACAGATAGCGATATCTCCCGAGACATCATTGACGCTTACGCACTGAATTGTTGAATTAGTGGTCTGCGCAAACACGTCGCCCATTTCGACATACCTGAACCGCAGTATCGCTTTTTAGCTGTCTTATGAACCTCTGTCTATTCAGATCCCAAACGAGAATGGTATTATCACTTGAGGCGCTAACAAGAGTGCTGAAAGATCTTGATATTGCCATGATGGTAACTGGCTTGACATGCCCGAACAAGCATGTCTTGAGTTGAAGTTCGACTGATCTTGAAGTGGTTTGGACTTGCCACACAGAAACCGTGCCGTCCGTCCCAGCAGTAATCAGTGTCCTGGGGTCGGCAAAGATGGCAGCGGATACCTGCCCTTGATGCAGATGTTCATGGTGGCCGCATAGCTATTCAATTAGCTTCGGCAACCAGGCGGGAAGTTGATTGTGTTATGACTCACTTTCTTGCTATCGGAATGATAGAACCGCACACTTCCGTCGGTAAACCCCCACTCCATGTACTTATCGTAAGTGGGGGGGAGATTGAGCCGAAAGGAACTTGAGCAGAATACCCGCTCATACTTAGCCGAGTATACAAGAGAGCTAACTCTCTCGCCATTATCTATAATTGTCAGCTAAACCCTATGGATTTCCAAAATAACCAAAACCTACCAATAAGAGGAAAAGGAAGTTTTATTAAGGATTCAGCCCCAACGTCTAACCTCGCACTCTTATGGGCTATCTCCTCTCTCACTGGATGTGCCCTAGTGAAGACTTGATGAGGAGTTTGACCAAAGTTATGAATAATCCCTATAGTAGCCAGTCTCACCACGGGGTCTTGTATGCTATCTAAATCGATCGCACCGTGATACGAGAGGTGATGGAACACATTGGTCGCTTCAACGGCCGCCTCACCCCGCTGCTTGAATCCAAACACGAGATCAATCCACTCATGGAGATGTTGACTCACGTACGGACTTTCGAGCGCTTCCCGGTGTTTTGCAATGAATATTTTGGGGTCCCCCTTTGCCCATGGTGGGAGTTTGACCGAGTCAATAGCTTCATCTGTCCCCTGCTTCATACCAAAGTTATATGCATTAGAGTTTACTAAGAACTCTGGCAGGAAGAAAAACTCGGGAATCAGCTCTCGGACATCAGTCATATTATCTCTCGAAGCCGATGCCCAGGCCTTTTCAATGGAATAAAACAGCCTGTCCGCGTGGTCAAATGATCCGCCCTGTAGGAGCAGGTACGATTGGACGAAGGGCTGAAGTCTGATAAGGTACGAGCAAACAATCATAGCCGATGAGAAATGTGTTCCATAGTGGAAGGGAGGAGCTTGCCGGTCGCCAATCTCCTCGAAAGAGCGGTATCGCTCCCGGAATTCATGCTGTCTATCCTGTGTCTGCGCTCCCATAGGCTTCGAAAAATCTCGGAAGGTTCTCGGGTTTGTCAGGTCCAGCTCCTGGCTGGTGTAATCCGCCAGAACCCATGGAAATACAGGGTACTGGGTCAAGTCATTGAAAGTTCTCCCTGCCATGGTATTCACAAGCATAAGGTAGTGAAAGTTTGAGATTTCCCCTTTAATCCACTTCCTTGTCGCGGGGTTAGGAATGTTGGATGTGAAGACGTTAACAAGCTTGGATCCAAAGTTTGTCGCGTTAACCTGAGTCTTTAGTGCTTCGATTCGCCACGCATCTCCGACATGCAGCGAGGCTGGGCTATTGTTAATATTGGCGGCCTTTGATAGGAGCTTAGAGTGTAAAAAGTCTCGATCTTTGGCAGACATAGTTGTCAAAAGGTAACTCCGGCCATCCGAGAAAAACAGCTCCAAAGCTACGTCTCTAAATAGGAATCGTCGTTTACTAATGCTGATCATATCCTCAAATGGCCAATGCCTAGTCTCGTGATCGCTATTAACAGAGACGGGTTTTCGATCCTCTGCCTCTCTTCCGGAAATCATTTGCAGATACTGATCCCTTTCGTCCTTAGGGGCCTGCCAGACGTTCACAATTTCTCCATCAGACCGTTGGAAGAAGTTGTCGATGAGATAAAGACAGTTTTTCCCCAAGATGAGGAGCCCTTCCACTGCATCCAATCCGACCAGCCTAGAGACATTTTGAACATACTCAACCACATCACCATGCTGGATGGTTCTCATGACCTTTCTGTTCTTGTCTTCCCAGCCATCATCGTCTTCCCGTGGATCGTCCACTAATTCGTAGTCCTCTTCAAAATCGTCTTCACCTCCATCGCGCGCCGAGTTGTGCTGCGACTGGTCCAGTGAGTCTGTCTCCCTGGTTGTGATAATACTGATCTCGTCGTCCTCCACAGATAGCGAATGAGATTTGCTTGGCCCAGCACCCCCGCCCAACCCGCCTGTGAGTCTCCGTTTAGGCTGGTAGTTGTGCAAATGAGCGCTCGAGTCTGGCAACATCCGCTTTCGCATTCGATTTCTCCCTTCAGTCAAGTCTAACCGCCACCTAGTCTCCTGGCCGTCGTCAAGCAACCCACATGGCCTCATTAGATCTGTCTCAAGCTTTGAATATGATGAGATAACATAGCCCAAACTGTCCTGTTGATCTTGCGTAGCTCTCTGAAATTTAAGATGTTCTGAGTTATAGATGTTGACCATCCAGTGCGAAGAGGCGGACTCGTGGCGACGATAAACATCCTCGTTGCTCATGTCATCCAAAATCCACTGCCTCAACTTTTCCTTGCGCTTTGAAGATCGAGCCTTCGCAGTTTCTGCAGTCTTCTTATTTTCTTCTACGACGAAGGACTCCCACGCCTTAGAAAGAGCCCCATAGAAAAATGCATCTAGATCTTCACGATGATCGTCAATCCAGTCTAACCAAGTATCGTTGTCCTAAAGCTATATCAGTTTTTTTGATCTAGAAAATCTCAACAAAAGCATCCTACCAATTCCATCAGCTTTTTAAAGCCTGAAGACAACTGTTTATGATCTATTGTCTTGGCTTGATTTAATAATGCCGAAGTCTCTGCTGGTTTTTGTACTAAAACAATCCGCAGCATCTAAATATAGCAAAAAAAAAAAAAAAAACCACGGTAAGCAATCATTAGCCAAGAGAAAATATCACACTAGACCAGGCAGGAGCACAAACATTGGCAGCGGCGAGTTTTATGTCCTGTTGCTGGTCTATCAACCGGGTATATAAAAGGTAGCATATAAGCCTCGTAAACTCGCCCTCTGTGTTTTCCGGAGAAAGAATGACCGCTTGCCAATACATCATCTTTCCGAGAAAGCCAACCACTTGTTGGGGATCTGACTTTGGATCATCGAGCTCTGACAGCCTGAAAAGAACTAGTCGCGATACCATAGCTCTTAGACTTGCCATAGTTTGGCTACACAGACGAACGCTCTTCTGTTTCGCTACCTCCGGCCGCTGTAAATATTCCAAAATTGTCCCAACGAAATCGAGCAAGCTTTCAGCCCCATTTAGGAACCACCCTAGAAATGCCGTTAGCTTACCGCAAGTTAGGGTGGCTAGCCGTGCTGACCTTCGTATACACAGTCAGTCATATGGGCCGCAAATCTCCCAATGCTAGTCAGGGCTCGCGGTTCGCAAAGCTTCTTCCTATCAAACCCCAAAAGGTTGTTGAGATGATTCAAGGTGTTCCGAAGTAGATAAGTTTCAAAGTAAATCTGGTGCTCTTGAAATCCGGGAGGAATCTGAAGCGATATCAGTATTAGGTCAGGCGACTTACGCTATTGACCCTGAAGCGACATGTCACCTACCTTTGTGCTCAGTCCAAGCCCTGTAAACTCTCTCCTCTCCAGCACCAAGTCTGAAAACACTGTCATAACAAGCTCAAGAAGGCTTTCTACAACCAAATTGGAAACAGTGGGACCTGACACTACGCTGCCGCTATTTCTCAAACCTGTCCCAATGGCTGGCGAGAGGCGCGCGGAAGAAGGAGTATAGGGTGTCGGCTCTGATGTCACAAGTATAAAGCTGGAGCCTCTCCTTAACCTATCTGATCGTGGTGTAGTTGGACTAGGAGGCTCGTCAACAGTCACAGTACGAACAATGGGAGGAGCAACATTTGAAACCAAAGGTCGAATCACTACATCTCCGCCATCGAATGTCAGTGCTGAATCCTTCGAATTTAGCTCCGTTTCTGCGCTGACATGGTCAGAGCTACAAACAATTGGAAACAGGATTCCAAGCATCTCCTGGATGAAGGACGAAGTTGCACAAAACTCCCGGAAGGTTGGGCAACTCGTATGCAAGTGCGCAAAGAACTGTATAAGCGTATTAAGCATCCCCGCTAGTTCCCCATTCCGTTTCTCCGTCGTTTTATTTGATACTAGACCAGAACAAAGTTATTAGCCTCTCTGTTTGGGCTGAGCACTGGATCAGGTACCTACCCAGCTGAGGCGGCTTGTCACTGAGCGATAATGAACGCGCTCTAGAGGTCCCTGGTGTTTGCAGTTTATCATCATCCGGTTTTTTGTTACCACTCGGCCCTCTGGTTCCCCCTTCGCTCTGATCTGCAACTATAGTACCAAGCCCAGCCTTCAGCATTCCCGCGATGACTGGTAGCATCTCAGGATATGTCACTTTTGCGTTCCCAGCATCGGAGAACATCTCAGCAAGACCAAACAAATCAAGTGGCCTCGAGACATCAATCTTGGCTATATCCTTCCCAAAAAATATGGCAAAGCATATGGGCCATAGAGGTGCCAGATTCCACCACCTCTTCAGTCTATTCCGCATAGCAACAAAACCCCCTGTTTTTAATCCGAATTTCGAGACGTAGCTACCGCCGTGGACAACCAATAATCGAGCTAGAATCTTGGCGCCAATAATCACTACTTTAGGATCGCTCTCGGCCAGCAGATACAGCAACCACTATAATCGTTGGAAGCGTTAGCAACTTCAAAGAATATAGCACCAGAGCGCGCGTCCAAGAATAGACCATAATTATCGTGATCCAACCACTATTCGAGATAGACAGATATTGGGAATTTCTCGCGGCCGAAGCCTTCCTTACAACACAATTTATGAACACTTACCTTATTAGTAACTGTCCTAGCAAATTTTTTAACATTGCCAACTCCGTTTCCCTCTTCAAACAAAAGATCTTGGTACATCTCTAAAACCATCACCCCGATTTGCTGCCTGGTATGACCATCACCACTCAGATCATTCATGGACTTGGCTGGTGACAGAGCTGCACCTGCGATACCGATGCCCATTGTTGGTTGCCGGCGTAACTGTACATTACTCTTTTTAACCCTTAATGGCTTTGCAGGATTGTTTTTGTGTAATGAGTAGGTGATGAAGAGAGCTAGAGATCGGAGAACATCCGCAGACATATTCGTCCTCACAAGTGTCTTGAAGGCGGCCATAAAATCGGGAAGCACCTCACGGGAGAATACTTCACCTTTAAGAGCGAATATCAATTTCTTGACAATCCCTAGTACGACAAACAGGCCAGAACGGCCATGTATCAGTGAAGGCCTCTAAGTGGAAGTATGGGGAGCCGGAAGGTACTTACGCATACGGAACAACCTCTTGGAATTGAAATGATGGTATTTGCTCCCATTACAAAACGTCACAAACTGCGCAAAGTATTCTTTTTGGGTTTCTGAATCCGCTTTCCTCCACATGTCAAAATCAACAAGCAGAATCCTATATGCAAGAGGATTGATGATAAAACTCTCCTCCGGAGCGTCATGCTTGAACCCCACGAATTCCAAGATCACCCTCAGCAAATCCTTGCCAATAATATTCTTTCCTTCCTTTGTCCGAATCAGATGTCCTAGAATCGCAAATCCGTTGTCTCTCTCCATAGCCTCACTATTCCTCCAAGAGCCTTTTGTAATTTCAAAAAGAATCTCCACGGCCCTGCAAACTTGTTTTGCGGTCTTCGCAACCTCAACCATCTTTAAACCCACAGCCGCTGCGCCGCCAATAGACCAAGCGGCATCATCCAGGGATTGTGGAACAATGACAACCGGCTCACCAGTCATAATTGCTACTCCATGCGTTAAACATAAGGCTTCGTTCACTGATGGAACTGCTCCATTAATTGCTACTGCTCCCGCTCTCGTCAAAGACTGTAGATTCTTTAATGCAGGTCGGGAAAGAGCTTTTACTAATTGAGACTCGTCCATGCTATTATCATTTTTGTCGTCAAGAACTTGTTGTGCGGAAAGGTTGAGCAACACTTTGGCTTCCGGCAGTATAGCTGACGCCTTGCTCCTTATAGCAGATATTATATCGCTCTTTTCCTCTTTTCCGGGGTGCATAAGCTCGTTGCGCATATTCAATGCTGCGGAGGCCTCATACGTCTGAAAAGACCCCAGGCAATCTTGAAAGCTCCCGTAATACCAAGGTCCAAGGCGATAATGTACCGCAATCAGATCATCTGAGAGAACATCCTCAAATAAATGGGCAGTTCCGAGACTCCATCTCGATGAGACTACCCCTTCGCCAACACGAGGCGACAAATCCAATGGTGTTCCAAGGAAAACCTGAACCGGCGTTGAAGAGGTTGGTGGGGGTTGGGGATAGGTTGCTTTGACCTGTTCTACGAATTCGCCATCAATATAAAGAGCAGCCTTTGCTGCCGAAGTGGTCCGAGGTCGCCGATGCACAAGTGAAATGTGATACCACTTATGGGGTTCAAAAACAGTCGATTTAAACCTAACACTTGCTCGTGGCGATGCTACAGATGTTTGTAGAATGAATTTTCGAGTGTCTTGTTCTATATAAGCTAGAACAAAGCAACGCTGTGTTGAATCGAAGACACCGAAAATAGTGGTATGCGTCGTAGGGTCAAAGGTATCAATGCAAATCCAGGCAGAGAAAGTGAAACCATTCGTGTGGGTAGGAGGGAACGAACGGCCTATAGAACTAAGTTCCATGGATGCATACCCGTAAAGTGAAAGGTCAAACTGAACGTGGGGAGGTGTCCGTGAGATCTTGAGACCTTGAAGCAGGAAAGACGCAACAGAATCATCTGTCATAGCCCGCCTGTAAAGATACTTGGCATCGTCTAGGTGATTTATCCCAAGCTGCATGAGATACTGAGCAAACTCCTTGAGAATGGCCCGCTCCAATTCTGGAACAGAGGCGTCCCATAACCGTGGGATAATAGTGCTTAATATGCCTGTTGAATGCATGGCAGCTAGGTTCGATTTGCTCGAAGAAGCTATAGACAATAGGGCTTGTAAAACGGCAACTGTTGTAACCTTGGACTCTTCTGTCCGCGTCATCGCTGTTTGAAAGCTGAGGATTAATGGAGTGATTTCTGCATTCACAAGCACATCTTTAGAACCGAAGCTTCCTCTAACTTTAGCCCGCACTTTGTCCACCACATTCTTCTCTTTTCCGGATCTACCATCCGATGCCAACCCTCGTTTAACAGATACCACCAAACCCGACAATGTAGCATCGTCCATCGCAAAAGCCAAGACAAGTCCAAATAATTGGTCCGGCGCCTCGGTGGGAAGTCCTGTCGCGGCAAGACCTTGCTCCAGACTGTCCCAGCCGATCCTCCTGGCAAAGAACCGCTTGTTTCCGGGATGGTTGAGCAGAGCTTCCGAGATTACACCGAAAAGGCATTTAATCAGCTCTGTGAAATGGTTCTTCTCCTCATCCGTACGATTTTCGGAGGTGTAGAACCCAGAACAGGAATGGAGTGCCGAAACCAAGTAGTTGAACCCCTTGAGAGCTCGAAACGTATCTTCCACCAGTAAATCCGGTTAGTAGGATGGCAGAGATGACAAAGCAGAAACTCAAAAAGAAGTGTAGGGTAACAAACCTTTAGCTTCGGGAGAGTCCACAAGAATGCGCTTGAGCAATGACAGCCATTGTAGACGGACAAGGATGTCCGGATCCGAGGCAGAAGATTCCAGGGAGTCTAGGAGAGGTTTTATCTCGGCAATGAACTTGGGTTTCGTAGAAGCTGCAGAGGATTCACGGCGCCCGGTGGATGTGGACCAAGGTGAAGCAGCAGAAGCCATGTTGGAGGACGGAAAGAGGTATGAGAAAGTCGTTCAGGTCATAGGATGAATCAGAAAGGAAATATGAAAAAAATAAGGATCGGGAAGTCAAGGTAACAGTAAATCGGGAAGACAGGTCCGATCGAGGTCAATGTGGGGGGGCGGTTGGAGGGGTAGCGGGCGTCGAGGAGAGTTGATGTCAACTTAGAGGTTGTGTTTGAAGGAGGCTATGATGCTGCGGTGTTTGGGGGCAACCACCTTCGAGCCGGGCAATGATACAACATTTGCAGTGCTACCGCGAGACGGCCCCGAAGCAACGGACAATCAAAGTCTACGGTATTTGTATGGTAGTTTCCATGCCTGAGCTATATACATCCTGAAACCATAAAATCTGTAAGGTTAAGGTAAAGCTATGTTGTCAGTTGCTTTGCTCAGGAACGAATTCCAGTTCCAATCTATTATCTACGGAGCCTCACCTTTTCCCCTGGTGCGGAAAGTTATCAAGCTCGAGCACGAGGTACCGTAGTCTAGTGCCGCACTGCTGTGGCAGGCGAACAGGCCAAGCCAATGTGCCAGACAGAGCAAGACGAAAATAGTACTAAAGGGGTTCCCACCTACGGGCGATGGGAATACCAGTATCATGAGTTCCAAGTACCGGTATTGCCCTTTGCACCGGCATAAAACGGTGTATCGTAGAGGTTTGCCGCATGGTCTCATATCATACCATGCCGGCACGAGTATTCTTATCACACCATACGGTAACTGTCCACTGCACAGAAACTCTATCTCCAAGTGACCTTAACGTGTACCAGTATACCATATGGCAGAGTACAATGATCGATGCCGACCATCCTGCATGATCCAAATGGGCCGACCAGAAAGGCCCTCGAGATCTCGTGACTGAAGAAGAGGAACAAAAATCTTATCATACTGGTGACTTGCTGCTCCCTTTGCTCCATTTCGGCCCAGACCAGCCCTCTCACTTTGTGATGAAGCGTGTTACTCATGTATTTTACTTGTTTGCCGTGTTTAGAGCCGGTTGGAGCTTGATATATCGACATGAGCATCTTACTCCCTCAGGCTTCTTCAGATCCTTCTCTGATGATGCCAGTGCCTTTTCCAACGCCTCTCACCCACACGATACCGTACTGCACTAAAGTGATTGATTATTTCTCTAACCTCGCTGGGTACTCGAGTAGCCACAGAGTCACGCTTCCACCCCGAGAGTACCTACGCACCAGTGAAAAAGGGGGTTCTCAGTCGCCTGTGGGTAGTCTACGAGCACCGGTACGATGGGTCTTCGAAACTGAATCCCGCAACCCATGCTCCAGCTCGAGAGTCACTCCTTTGCCCAGTGGACACCGTGATTGTGGCTCATGTGTCGGGCTCGGATGTCTCTATCACTCGCGCCAAGAATCCCAGCAAATCAGACTCGAGGTGCTCGTACTTGTACCAGCACAATACAGAAATAATGTTACAAGATCTCTTCTTGTGTCCCAGACAAGGGTCGCCAGCCACCCACTCCTCGAAAGTGGCTTGGCGTAAACTTCGCTTACTAAATTCTGAGACATAACCCAGCCCCCAGAGCGGGCCAATGGTCCACCTAAAGCTCGCCTTCTATACTGCTGCTGCCGCGCTCTTTATCTTCTCCAGCTTCCCCCAGATCTGTTCCCTCTTCCTCTTTCTCTCCTACAACACCCTCTGCATTCCCTTCATTCCCTCCACAAGTCCTAACCCAAGCCCCATACATTACTCCCTCCCTCCGCATTAAATAGTTATTCCTCTACATCATGCATCTTTCTGCCAAGTTCGCGTTGCTCCTTGCTTCCATCTCTGTCTCTATCGCTTCCCCCATCCATGATGCTGCCCTCGGAAAGCCAGCCCCTCTTGTCACTTCTGCTCTCGAGCATGAAATTCCAAACAACTACATTGTAGTCTTCAAGAAGCACGTCGATGATGCGTCTGCTACTGGACATCACAGTTGGGTTGCCGACCTGCACGAAACATCGATCTCATCGCTCAGGAAGCGAAGTCAGATTCCTTTGATCCGCGGAGAAGTTGACCTAAGCAGCTCTGTTGATGTCAATATTAATTCCTTAACCGGTCTCAAGCACACATATAACATCTCTGGAAGCCTTCTCGGTTACTCTGGTGCTTTTGACGAATCTGTTGTGGAGCAGATCCGTAATCACCCTGATGTGAGTCCCGTTTAGCCCCGTCTTGAGAGCTTGCCTCACTGGCCATACACCGTATTGCGAGTGCGGGCCGCACGTGACGCTTCCGGGCTGGCATCGGCACCCGTATCGTAGCCGGCCAAGCTAACGCGGCATTTTTATCTTAGGTTGCCTATGTCGAGAAAGATACCAAGGTCTATGCTCTCGCGGATCCCGTAACTGAACACTCTGCTCCTTGGGGTCTTGCCCGTATCTCTCACCAAGAGAGTCTGAACTTTGGTTCCTACAATAAATACATCCACCAAGCTCATGGTGGCCAGGGTGTTGACGTTTATGTCATTGACACTGGTACCAATATCGATCACAACGACTTTGAGGGCCGTGCCCATTGGGGGAAAACCATTCCTGCCGGTGATGAGGATGTAGATGGCAATGGCCACGGAACCCATTGCTCGGGTACCATCGCAGGAAAGAAGTATGGTGTTGCTAAGAAGGCCAACGTTTACGCTGTCAAAGTTCTCCGATCCAACGGATCCGGAACTATGTCTGATGTCGTTAAAGGCGTTGAATACGCTGCTGAATCACATGTTAAGAAGGCTGCCGCTGCCGCTGCCAGGAAGGATAAGAACTTTAAGGGCTCAGCTGCCAACATGTCTCTTGGTGGTGGAAAGGTTCGAACTCCCTCGGATGGATAAATGCTGCTGGAACTAATTAATCCTTTTTTTTTAGTCGAGTGCATTAGACCAGGCTGTTAATGGCGCTGTGATGCTAGGCCTCAACTTTGCGGTAGCCGCCGGAAATGACAATGCTGATGCTTGTGACTACTCGCCTGCTGCTGCTGCTAAGGCTGTTACCGTTGGTGCTTCTACTCTTGCTGACGAGAGGGCCTATTTCTCCAACTACGGAAAATGTGTTGGTATGTACATCTTGGTCATCTGTCTATACTTTTCCCATCTGACGATTCATAGATATTTTCGCCCCTGGCTTGAACATTCAATCTACTTGGATTGGCGGCCCCGATGAGACTAAGACCATTTCTGGGACCTCCATGGCTTCTCCCCATATTGCTGGGCTTCTCGCCTACTTCATCTCTCTTCAGCCAAAGCAGGGCTCGTCGTATGCTGTTGGCGAATTGACCCCTGCTCAACTCAAGAAAAACATGGTTTCAATCGCCTCGGAAGGTTGTCTCACTGGTATCCCATCCGATACCCCCAACCTCCTCGCCTACAACGGTGGTGGATCGGGAAACTTGAGCGATATCTTTGATGGTACCCGCTACAAGCATGGCCACAAGTCATCCAACGGAGTGGTTGAGGATGTTACCGATGTCACCAAAGAGCTTATCAATGAAACCGAGGCTTTCTTGGATGATATCGAGGACAAAGCAGTTCACGAGATCAAAACCCTTTTCGATAAGGCTAGAGCTGCTCTCAACTCCCGGGACTAGAGGGGTCCTTATAATACCTAACGCAATTCCTGCCTTTGTTGCATGTCATTGGGTAGTACGATCGCTATGGTTGTCCCATGGGTGTGACGGTGTTTTCTCTTCTGCGCAAATATTGTGTGGCCTTCTGTGGGGTCTAGATAGCTTTGACCTTCAGTTACAGGTTTATCGGAAAGTAGTAACTTTATTTGTTTTTCCTTGCACTGTTTTTTAATAGTTTGGTTTGTACTCTTTTTTTTTTTTTTTTTCTTTCTCTTCTACGATTTGGGATTTCGTTTTTACTTTCTGCGCCTGGATATGGATTTGGATTAAATCAAACATCGGACTCAAGATTGTCCTTGTAAACATGGAGTGCGCAGTCACCGGCTGGACGTGTAGTGAAGTTGTATTGATGAAGTTTTGTCCCGTCTCTTGATAGTGTTTACCCTCAGTTCAATCTGAGATGTTCCTAAATGCGCTCGGGGCGGCCGATGATCATGCGGGTATGTGACTGCAGGCGCACGCTTTCTTCCACCAGTACCATGGATGGATGGGAAAACTGCTGCCTTGATGCAACGCAACTTGTGTAGCTACCGTAGAGTCAATCTTAGTTCTCGGGACCCTTATTCCAGTATCATAATATTATCATACCGGTATGGTGTCACGGCAAACGCATTCTGTTGAATTGAATTCTCCCATCATATTGTTCTCACAGAAAACCATAGTGGCGGTAGATGAACCTGAGCATATCATACTCGAACCCAAGCGATAGACTACTCGAGTACCGGTACCGGTACTGTACTCGTCGTACCTCAACCCGGTTCTAGCTCCCAATCCCATCTTGCCCATACTTCCGTCCATCCATCCCATCCAGCACGCCCCACCTCGACTGGCATAGCAGCAGCAGCATCAAAACCTCAGCGATAAGTCGATTCATGGTATGATACTCTCTACAGTACTCGAGTATTGTAGGTCACCACATCACATTAATCAATCCAATCCATCATGAACTCTCGCAGCCAAACGGTACCCCGGTCAAGTACCCACACACACCCCCCTTGAATGGTTTTTTTTTTCCCTTCCTCCCTCTTTCTCCTCTTTCTTCTCCAAGCTCCTTCCTTTTCTTCCCAATACCGTGCGATAAGGGTGTGACCGGTATTATATATACTTGTACGCTATCGCTACACAAGATTTGCTCGGGGGAGAACGAATCGGATAAGAAAAAAAGGGAAAAAAAAGGAAAAAAACAATCACACGAGCAAGCAAGCAATCAAGAAAAAGCAAAAATGTAACAGTAAGTCGTAACCGGAGTCAACGCCGAAAACAGCCATCCAAACTCATCACATCCATCTCCTCTCCATCTGCTGTACTCGAGTACCGGTATCTCATCTTGCGGCACCGCCCATCTGAACCATGCGGGTAAAATTGGATGGGTTAATATGTGATGATGTTGTGATACTGTGCTTGACCAGATGATTTCTGGGGTTTGGTACAAGTACGTAGAATGCTAGGAAAGTACGGTTACTGTTTTACTCTATTATGATACGTCCGGGCGGAAAAGGGATCTGGCATGCGGGAGAAATGTGTGGCTGGTGTGACCTGTTGGTGTGGCGGGGGGGATTGGTATGATAGGTGTTTCACATAGAGCTCGCAGCGAGGAGCCTCGACCCAGCCAGCTTGCTGATTTGTTGGGGGTTCCGGTTACAATAACTCATTTTAACTGGTTGGGGGAGCTCCTGTCATGCCAATATCATACGGTAACTGTCCAATGAACCCCTGAGTAAGATGTGATTACGTGTTATATGCGTTGGTTGAGCGCGTTTTTCCTAACCATATCACCCCGATGATGACGAGTCTGTACGAGTACCGTACAAGTATATGTATCGTGGAACCGCACGATGTCGTAAAAGGGGAGCAGGAAGAGAGATTAATACCATAATTCTGGCACTGCTTGCCCACCTTGCTCACGAACTCATGCGGTTATAGGGACAGAACCCACGCTCAAGGTGTGTTCGTTCGAGACCAGCACCCTGAAGGAAGAAAGTTTATCCGTCTAATAGAGCACTTTCTTTCTCTTCAATTCGCTCGTACATAGTACGAGTGCGGCCGATGGATATATCCGTCACGTGAATTCAGATAAGCAAAAGCAGCGCATTGCAACCATTTTATGTGAGGAAATGTCGTCATCACCATACTGTAGATATTCCTGAGTTTGAACCTGTCCAGAAGCCATCTCTTTTCCTTATTTCCAACTAATATTAAAGTCTATTAGTATGGGTCAAACAAGAGATACTATTGAAATACCTATTGAACTGCATTGTGCTATTCTTACTCTCCATCTCTTTACTGAGAAAAGCTGGATAGCCATCTCAAACTGTCTAATTCTGCTTGCAAAATCTGTCACAAAGCAGTGGTAAGTTTAGTTCAAAGCTGGAGCATTGTAGTAATAGTTAATTGAGCTCACAAAATAATTAGGAGAGAGTGAGTAACCCAACCGATTTCTGTGACCTCTATGCTGTTCTGAGAAGCCTTAATCATCCCAGCCACTTCCAAGTCATTCACAAGGTATCTCATGTGCTCGAGCATGCCTTATAATCAGGTTCTAAGGAATATGAAAAACCTTTTCCACAGTTGGCCTCCAAGTTAGGAATTTGAGCAGCATATTCAACAATCTAACAGGTAATATATAATCACTATAATATCTATCATTTCCTACAGAGTCAGTGATAGGATTGCTTCTTGATCGCTCCCAAGATATATTTGTTCAACAGGTAATGAGTCTTGTCATAGAAGTAATACATGTAATTACTTCCATCTTCTTCAATATAGTAACCATTTTGTAGTTGTTGCTTGTTACTTAAGAAAATACTATTATTTTCTTAAGTACTCTAATAGCAACTATGGTTCACTATACTTGTCATGGGTTTCTCATAAGGGTAATATGTGAGGTGTGAATATGAAGCAGTATTCATAAACATATATGTTAGGAAATAATTTAGGTGGATACTTGAAAATCTATCTCAAAGACTGAGCCTATCACCTTATATAGACCTTTCCACAACTCGCTTACAAATCCAATTATTATATGAATTGTGGCTGCATCCTATATGACTATAGGATTATTTGTCCTCATGACCTTTTCCTAGGTTATATACATAGCCTCATGACCCCTAAACAGGTCATGTGTGTAAAATCCAAGTAAGTCTTATAAGACTTACTCCTATTCAACTAACAATCCCAATATAATATAATGATCATGACTTGAAATCAAAGTCATGTGTGACATCCACATGACCCCTAAATAAGAAAACCTACACAATTCTAGTGAGACTCAGATCTTCCCTACATAATACCATCCAAGTTTTTTTATACCAGCAGGTATTAATGTCTGAGATTGTGCCTAAATGTCTGACTGCATTTAGTTAAAAAGTAGAAATTTTGATTTCAAGAGACTAGGATAAAAATAAATGATATAGCAGTACCCTCAGCTAGGACTGGCAAATATGGACTTGCCTATTCCAATGCCAAGCCTTGTGGAGGTACTATTCCACCAAGAGTCCTTCAGACCATGAGCAAACCTCCACTCCTCTTACTACCAACCACCCTCCTAGTAGAAAATAAACAAAATTATTTCTATTGACACCATATTACTCGCCCCCTACAAGGTCTGCTAGGTAGCCCTGATAGAGTTCTGGTAAACTCTCCAGCCACTACTCTTAAATACTTGACTAAAAAAGATAAATGACTTCTTTTATCTCTGTAATCGCAATTGTCCTTTCAGGACCAGCTAGGTAAGTAGTTTTGATAGAGAAAACCTGGACTATAGTGATTAATAACTACTGTTTCTATAGAAAATACATATTCTGTTCATTGCTACTATCCTGCTTGGCCTGCTCAAGGCAAGTCAGGTGGTATTGAGAGAATCAACTGTTACTACTATTACCATATATTTTTTCATCTATGTAATAAAAAAATAATCTTCATTGTCACTATCCGGCTTGCTCTTCTCAAAGCAAGCCAAGTGGTATTAAGAGAACAAACTGCCACCCCTACTACCATGGAACTCTTGATCAGCAAAAAAAAAAAAAACTCTCTTCATTGTCACTATCCTGTTTGCCTTTCTCAAGGTAGGTCCAGTGGCATTAAGAGAATCAACTGTTATCGCTATTACTACAGACTCCTTGTTTGATAAAAAAAGAATTTTCTTTAATGTCATCCTCTTACTTGCCTTTCTCAAAGTCAGGTGACTTTAATAGAGAAACTATCTATTGCTTTTAATATAACTACACTTGTTCTACAATAGGGTTAAGTGATTTTGTCACAGCATGTCATGAACGTAGCTTAGCAAGGAAAGGGTTTTCACATGACTTATAATTATGAGTCATTGGTATGTTATTGTTTCCCGCATAGGACTCATTTAGGTCATGTGATTTGTTATGTTGTGATTTGTGATATTTTGCATATGACTTAATTATGAGTCATGGGAAGGCCACCTGGCAAGTATGCCTTGCAAGTATGCCTTGTCGGTATGTCTTGCATAAATGATTTATGCTTTGTATATGACCTCATTATAAGGTCATGGGTTTCACGCATGTGACCACTTTGGATCATATGACTTGTTTATTGAGTTATGATTAGTTTAGGAGTTGTTGTACATGACCTTACTAACTGTCATGGGTTTTGCGCATGTGACCACTTTGGTCATATGACTAGTTTATGATAATTTGGTTTCGCATATGTGACAACTAGAGGTCATGTGAGGTAGAGCGAGAAGAGCACTATAAAAGGAGGCTAGTATAGCTAAAGAGGATAGGCTCTTCATGCTTTGTTCTAATTACTTTTCCTCGTCCTTGCTATTACTTCACCTCAGAGTGTGTAACGATCTCTCCTTAGATAGTTAGTTCTTAGCGATGGGGAACGATACTTCTCTTCTTCTATTTCTTTCCTTAGTCTTACGATAGCACTAGGCCTCTGCCTACGTTACCGATAGTATAAGATCTTTGTCTTCTATCGGAAATGCCTATCGTAAGCTTTCCCTGACTCTTCTTCGTGAAGAACTTTCCTTGGTGTAACGATAATGTTGCAATAAAGATAGAGATCATAAAGATGTTTTATATTCGTGAAAGTAATAAGTAGGAAAAGTACTTAGAATTCAATCTAATTTTATTTATACTAGTACCGCCGACACTGGCATACGACCAGTCTCCCCCACACCCCATAAAACAAACTATCTAAAATACACTACCGCGGACCATTCCGCCTCGCAACCGCTCCCCCCAAACATAAATCCAAAAAATTACTACCTATATGGGCTCACGGGCGCTCGCAGCAACTAGTGCTGCCCCGGATTCACACGTCTTCCCATC